GAAATCGCGATAGGTTTTTTTTGTCCATATCGCACAGCCCTAGTTTGAACATAATAATATGCATTTTTTTAAACACAATAGGAGTTAATAACTTCTCATATTTGATCTTTTTTAGTATCTGACAAACTACAATAGATCTTTTCTGCTTGTAGACGTCGCGCTTTTTTTTGTAGTGTCGATTTCTGGTGAATTGCATGACTCAAAAGTGTAAAATCTCAGAAACATCAGGTCAAAGCTAGGCTGCACCTTAGAGCTTGGCATGAAACGGTTGATTCGATCCCGTGCTTCATCCGCCGCGTGCTCCACCAGCGCCAACACATGCTCCTCCGCCGTGCTGTCCGTCGAACTGCAGGCGTTGCCCTCCTGCTCATACAGATCACTAGACGAGCAACACATCTGCTCAATCACACACTCACAAACATGAGACATGATCAAAAGCGATCAGCGGACTGCGCTTTACCTGATGATGGGCTCCTTGACGGGCTGCTTTTTGGACTTTTTGGGGTACTCCGTGTGGATTGGCGTGATCTCCGTCACCGGTTCCTCAGGCGCAATGTGGTCATCTCCCAAAATGGCAGCCTGCTGAGAGAAATCCATGTCCTGCATAAAAGACATGCTGCGCTTCAAAGCTAACAGCCGCTCCTGTGAACAGAGCACAAATAGAGCAACACAGCACCCATTTACTCCTCCTGCGGAGGTCTTAGGTTCGCCATGAAGATGGGGGATGCGGAACGTCCAACACGGGTTGGATTGAAATAAAGAAAAGAGATTGCATGGTGGAAATACTCCTCTCTGAGCACTCGAGCCACATAAACTGCTCAAAACGAACCATCTCACTAATGCAATTAGATTACAGTGAGGTGACTGAAGTCTGGGAGTTTTGTCCCATCTATTCAATTAAGCGTTATCATAAATTATATTTAGATTTACATCATATATTATATTAATATGCATACATATATTATTATATCACATTTTTGCTTTATTATAATATAATTATATTATATATTAAATACTAATTTTAATATATTTAATAGACTTTTCCATCACTTTTTAATTAATTTATTAATTGTATTAATTTTGTCCATGAAATTTCCAGGCTTTGCAATTACAATTTTAAAATTCTCTAATATTTCCGGGAATCCTAAAAAATAAGACGTTCTTGCTTCCATTTATGAACCATAAATGCTCTTTGGAATTATATTGACTATTATCCTGATCATATAATTTGTAATGGAAAATATTGTATTTAATCAAATAAAAAAAAATCACACAAAAAGGGAGAAGCATTTTCACTAGTTCTATAATAGTTTGTGTTAATATTTAGATTTTATACTTTATATTTTTATTAATTTGTATAAATTTTTTTTTTTTTTAGTAGTAGCTTTTTTAGTATTTCAAGTTGAATATTTTCAACTAAACAAACATAAGAATTGTTGACTTGGCAGCTAGCTGAAATAAAATAAGTTTAAGTTTTTTTTATATATATATTCTATTTTATTAAAGTCAACATTTATACTGTTTCAAGCAACAAACATGTTTTTCCGATTATTATAACCGCACGTATCTGAATCAAACGGGAATGATGGCACGGATGAACAACAAAGGCAAAAAATAACCAAAACCAAACTGCATTAAAAATGTTACTTTGCTCATCATTTTGAATCCTGTGTGGAGAAGCTTCTTGGCAGCTTTGTAGTAAACCGTCTCCGGTCGGTTATAAACCATGGCGTTGTCACACATCAGCTTGAAGTCTGCCTGGAGAGTCACACATCAGAAACAAACCAGTTACACTTTTATAGTTACACGTCTTTTCAGTAAAGCCGAAAATATATCAGTAGTTAACCAAGAATCTGAAAATGAAGACAAACGGAGATAAAACAGCAGGACACTTGCGTGCCTTGAATTCTGTGATAGTTTTGTATTCGTTTGCGTCGATTTTGTCCTTCATTGTGCTGAAGTCCATGGGATGTTTGATTATCATGGAGTATCCTGGAGCAATGGCGTCTGTCACCGGGAAGGCGAAGAATCCGTGCGGATCTTTCCTGTCGAGACAGAAAGACTGTTCTTATATAATGCAGATATGAGGAAAGTCACATCTAATTTAACAGGGTGTTACCTCTGAAGCAAGCGCAAGAAATGCTCCAAGAGCTGCTGGCGAGGGGTGGATTCGTTTTCTGGGAAAAGCCAAAAGGTTAGTGATTAGTGCTTTGTTTTGATTGATAGCAGGACTGTGCATCACTCAGAACCGAACTGTCTTTTAAACCGCAGTTTAATTCATGAATTTGTTCTCTAAAATGTATTTGAATTTAAGGAACTGGAACCCGGAGTAGATTTTTAGAACACTTTGTTCAAAACAGAGCCAAAACAATACTTATATTTGAACTAAATATATGATTTAGAATTTTATTTTCAATATTTATTTTCATGGTAACGCTACAATCCGGTTTTGTTTTTTTTAAATTAGTCGACTGCATTAGTTAAAATGAACGAATATTCCCAAAGCATTTATTAATCTTAGTTTATTTTAATTTCGACATTTACTAGTACATTATTAAAATCTATATTTAATGTGCATGAACTAACAATGAACACTCGAGTTTTATTAACTGTATTTATTTGTAACAAAGATCATAAATACTGTGACAAAATGTATTGGTACTTGTTAGTTAATGCATTAATTAACGAACTAACGGGACTTTATTGTAAAGTGTTACCTAATAATTTGAATTTGAAACTTGAAGTGAAAAATGTTAGTATGCTTTGTTCAAAATGGATGCATTGTACATGGGTCAAAGACAAAAAAGGGTTTAAGCATAAAAACACTAAGTGTAATACTGCTTTAAATTATTGTTGCCCCCCCAATTCAAAAGTTTTCAGTTTAATTTAATTGCAATTTTGTTTTTCTGAGCAAAAAATAAATATACATTTTCCCCTGATTTACAGAAGAGAGCCACTGAAATGTAATTCAGTGTAACAATCTTGTCAGGCATATTTACAACAAAATCAATTTATGACATATTAAAAGACTAATACTTTCACCTCAAATACTAATTAGCTGTAATTTTACATTTTTAAAATTTGCCACTATCCTACCATTATCCTAGGTTTTGCCCATTTGTCAGTAAGAATTTTTACTCGTTTAAAACACAATCATATTTAATATGCTCCCTTATTCTTTTATATATTTTAAT